AAAGCTTTTTTTACAAATAATTTGGCGTAAATGGTATCAAGTCAGTGACTCAGTGACTCAGTGAATGTTCATTGGGGTTCACCATCACGAAAATCGAAGCCTAGCTCCAAAAGTATGACTGGACTGAAAAATCAGAGAAAAAAACCGAAGAGATCATAGACCTATCTTCATCCACTGCTAGAAATGAAGTTTTAATAATCGTCACACGTCTTTCCGTGACATGGCGCGGAATGATTAGAGTTTTACTCACTATCTTTCACTCGAGTCGCGCTGCCACCTTGTGGCGCTAGTGCGACGCCACCCGGCATCAGTCGCGTCTCAATCCCTAACAATTTACGCGTCTTAGTCGTGTCCACAACGCTCACCCGTCCGCGCGCAATTCCATCACCAACTCCAAATTCCACAACGCAATGCCGGCCTCAACAGGAAAGCGATCCCTCGGTGCCGACAGTGCCTCCGGAGCGAAGAAACGTCGAGTCGAAGATGGCATCAAAAATGACCGACTTACGAAGCTTTCCCAGAGTGTTCCGAAAAGTAGCTTCGAGGAGGAATTGGATCAGATGTCACAGGATATTGATGTGAAGGGAAATAGCGATAGGGATCAGAAATGGGCCAGGCCAGATTTAGGAGATTGGAATCCAGAGAAAGACGATTTGCTGTTTCAGCAAATCGATGTCGAGGAGGGAAATTTAAATGGGAAAACAGCGATTAGGTTGTTTGGTGTTACTGAGGTGAGTTGCGCATGCTTTAAGTAAGAATAAATCACAGTGATGCTGATAATGAAATAGGCTGGTCACTCGGTGCTACTACATGTTACGGACTTTTTGCATTACTTATATGTCGCTGCCCCGGTTGGATTTAATCAGGAGCACACCACGCCATTCCGGGATTTCCTCGATGCAAAACTTTCCAGTGGACGCGAGAAGATGGTTGAAAAAGTCGAGATTTTCATGAGAGAGAACCTTTACTATTATAACGGCAACATCAAGTCGCCCTACTTGAAGATCTCAACCACGGACCCGAAACATATCCCTCGTCTACGAACCATGATTGAAAGAGGAGAGGCAAACTGGAAGGGGATGTGGCCCATTGGAGACTCGGGATGTATGACGTTTGATAGCATTCAATACGTTATGCGCTTCATGGTTGATACTGGTGTTTCGGGTATGAGTTGGGTTGAGGCACCAGCTGGAACTTATAGCATCTTGCCGAAGAATACTTCGGTATCGAATTGTCAGATCGAGGCCTCTATCAGCTACAAAGACCTTATTGCTCATGGAACTGATGGGGAGTTTGCGAAGATGGCACCGCTGCGGATTCTGTCTTTCGATATCGAGTGTGCTGGAAGAAAAGGAATTTTCCCGGAGGCCAACCACGACCCGGTTATTCAAATTGCCAATGTTGTTACAAGATATGGAGAGGACAAGCCGTTCGTACGGAATGTTTTCTGTCTGGACAACTGTGCGTTGATCGTCAATACCCAGCTCTTCGAATATCAAGACGAAAAGGAGATGTTGATAGGCTGGAAGAACTTCCTTCAGGAGGTTGATCCGGATGTCATCATCGGATACAACACGGCGAACTTCGATATGCCCTATCTTCTCGACCGTGCTAAACACCTTGGGGCTGGAGAATTCCCCTTCTGGACAAGATTGGTCAATATGAAGACGGAGGCGAAGGATACCAACTTCTCCAGTAAGCAGATGGGAAACAGAGACACCAAAGCTACCAACACCAATGGAAGATTGCAAATCGATATGTTGCAGGTTATCCAGCGTGATCACCAGTTAAGATCCTACACTCTAAACTCCGTCTCGGCACACTTCCTGGGCGAGCAAAAGGAAGACGTCCATCACAGTATGATTACCGAGCTATTCAATGGAACACCAGAATCCCGTCGTCGTCTGGCGGTGTATTGTTTGAAGGACGCATACCTCCCTCAACGTTTGTTGGACAAATTGATGTGCTTGGTCAACTATACTGAGATGGCCCGTGTCACTGGAGTCCCCTTCAACTACCTTCTGTCTCGTGGACAGCAGATCAAGTTCTTGTCTCAAATCTTCCGTAAAGCCTTGGAAGAAGGACTCGTTATCCCTAACTTGAAATCCGAGGCATCCGATGACCAGTATGAAGGAGCTACTGTCATTGAGCCTACGAGAGGATACTACGACGTCCCTATTGCCACTCTCGATTTCGCCTCCTTGTACCCCAGTATCATGCAAGCTCACAACTTATGCTACACCACGTTGCTGAGAAAGGAAACCGCACAGAGACTTAATCTCAAAGAAGGCGACGATTATACTATTACTCCCAATGGAGACTGGTTCGTCAAAGCCAACCGACGTAAGGGAATGGTGCCTCTTATTCTGGAGGGGTTGCTCGGGGCTCGTAAGCGTGCCAAGAACGATCTCAAGAACGAAACGGATCCCTTCAAGAAGGCTGTATTGAACGGACGACAGCTTGCGCTTAAAATTTCCGCTAACTCGGTCTATGGTATCACCGGAGCCACAGTTGGAAAATTGCCTTGTTTGCCAATTGCTTCTTCGGTTACTTCTTTTGGTAGAGAGATGATTATGAAAACCAGAGAGGAGGTGGAGAAGCATTATACCATCGCCAACGGATATGATTATGATGCGCAGGTTATTTATGGAGATACCGATTCTGTTATGGTTAAATTCGGACCCAAGGATTTGGCTACTGCCATGAAATTGGGTGAAGAGGCCGCAAACCTCGTGTCCTCGAAATTCATCAACCCTATTAAGTTGGAGTTCGAGAAGGTCTACTTCCCTTACCTTTTGATCAACAAAAAGCGATATGCCGGACTCTACTGGACCAGAACGGATAAATATGACAAGATGGACGCCAAGGGTATCGAAACTGTCCGCCGTGACAACTGCCGTTTAGTTCAAGTCTGCATCGAAACCGTGTTGAAGAAGCTTTTGATTGACCGGGATGTTGATGGTGCTCAAACGTATGCCTCCTCCTTGATATCCTATCACCTTCCGCTAACATAAAAACAGCTATGTCAAAAACCTCATCTCCGACCTCCTCCAAAACCGCATCGATATGTCACAACTCGTCATCACCAAAGCCCTCTCAAAAGTCGACTATGCTTCAAAACAAGCACATACCGAACTAGTAGAACGCATGAAGAAGCGTGATGCCGGTTCTGCCCCAACCCTCGGAGACCGTGTTGCATACGTCATTGTGAAAGGAGCTGCAAATGCTAAGAACTACGAGAAATCCGAAGACCCTCTCTACGTTCTTGAGCACTCGGTTCCTATCGATACTAAATACTATCTCGACAACCAACTTTCTAAGCCCCTGGGTCGTATTTTCGAACCTATTGTTGGAGAGAAGAAAGCCCAGCAGTTGTTGACGGGAGATCATACTCGTATCATTACTGTTTCTGCACCAAGTGTTGGAGGATTAATGAAGTTTGCAAAGAAAACTCAGACTTGTATGGGTTGCAAAACTCCTTTGAATAAGAAAGGACAAACTGAGGGTGCGGTCTGTGAGAACTGTCGTCCAAGATTCGGAGAGTTGTATCAGAAGAGCTTGACCAAGGTTAATGAGATGCAGGTTAGGTTTGGACGCTTGTGGACTCAGTGTCAGAGATGTCAGGGGGCTATTCATTGTGAGGTTATTTGCTCGAATAAGGATTGTCCTATCTTTTATATGAGGATGAAGGCAAGGAAGGATTTGCAGGAGAGGGAGAAGGAGTTGAAGAGGTTTGATGTGGGAGAGTTAGCTTGGTAGGTGGTATGGAATATGGGATTGAGAAACAGGATGAAGGAGATGTATATTATAATATTTAAGGATATGTGGGGGTGTGGCGCGTGATGGTAATGATATCGAAAAGGGACTTGCATAGGAAAAATTAAATTATCAATGAAATCTTAATTTTCTTACGGAAAACACTTCTTTCAAATGGTCAACTTATACAACCGCGTGATAGGCATCTGAATACCAAGTATAATTGCTTGATCTCAGCCTTACCCACTCCATTTTAACCTTCCCAAAGACTCAAAAAACTTGATTTGATTTGATTTTTGATTTAATCATACTCCGACCGAGGCCTAAAAGGCCTATGCAGGACGCTAAGAAACCCCCAAAATTCCTATCCCCGTGACCAAAGTCACAAAACGAGGTCCCCTATCTCCTACACGCACACAAACTCAAAAAAACTTGCACAATAACATCCATCAATCCGTGAAGCAGCGTGATAAATCATGCCAAACCCCCCTTGCGAGCATTAAATCTCTTCATAAGTTGAACCTCTGATATATATTTCTCAGTTCCGACAAATTTCGAATCCATGGTAAAGATCTTTCGTAATTTTCGGTATTGTAATAATAAAATAATCTCAATTATTACTACTACTACTACAAAAAAATACTCAACAATTATCATATTATCTAGAAAAGAATAATACATACCTATCTTGAAATCCTCTATAGAGCTCACTTGCTTATTGCTTGCTGAAATTTCATCCAGGACTTGGAAGTCTTATAAACCCCCCTATATATACGTATGTACATATGTACTTTACCTCTCTGGTTCAAGCATTTTCTAATAAACTATAACGCTATAATGCTATAAGGATTTGGGATCTGGGGGTAGGAAAGTTATGTGTAGTTTAGATAAGTTATTATATACACTCCCACTACTCCGTTTCTAAAATTAATTAATATTTTACCCATCGCTTACCTCCAGGAATTTTCTATGTTGAGACAATGGATATTCAGGCTTCAATTAATACAGCGGTATTTACTGTAATATTTATTTCATTCCTCAGGGGTTTGGCTTCTATAGGGCCATTTGGTGTTTGAATTTTGAAGTGGGTTTGAATCCTTATTGATTAAAACTTAAGCCATGTAATACCTTTTAATGCAGCTTGAAGTTGGTGTTTGGTTATTCTGTAGATGAGCGGGATGATTATGCATGGTGGTATAATTAATAATAGTAGTTAATTTTAAAAATTAAATAATAAACAACATGCTCTGGTTAGCTCAGGGGTTAGAGCGGTCGATTGCAGATCGACAGGTCCCTCGTTCAAATCGGGGTCAGAGCTTCTCTTTTGCTTCTGGGAATCATTTTTTATTGGCCTGAATGTTGATTTTTCTTTGTCTAGATGTTGGTGTGGAGTTTATATTGGGAAAACTGCAGAGAGACTACGTCACCCAGCTTCCCGGCGAGCGGGATAAATCACTGAGGCTTTCACGGTGATTTCTTCAGGAATGGTATTTATTGCTAGTTACAAGATGGTATAATGATTCAAAGTAAACGCCCCGGATGCCAATTCGTGTCGTGAAGGATGGTTGCTACGCCTAATTTCCAGTAAGGAAAAGACGATCACCAATATCGCCGAGACTATAGTCATTAGTAATACGCACGTGCGTAAGTATGGGGGAACCTTACCCTGGCACAATCATTCCTCCACCTTCTCCACCGAGGGTCTGCATCAACAGCCCCGACCATGATCTTGACCTCGGTATTATTATCACTACTTGCGTCTGCAGCATGTTTGATACCCTCTTTACTTCCAAGGATACTAATCACCAGAATCTACGAGAAACCACCATAACACATCAGTAATTACCCCTCATAACGTAACGTAGCACATTAAGCACACCCCACCTTTTTGACTCCCCATTCTGTCAGTGTGTTGATCGCGGCGGCGGCAGTTCGTCCGGTTGCAATCACGGGGTCAACCACAATCGCAAGATCGTATGGGCATGCTCCGTTTCCAGGAAGGTTGTTGTAGTACTCCACAGGTTCACCTGACATCTTATCACGGAAAAGACCGAGGTGATATACGGGTACGGATTCGGGGAGGAGGGTTTGGAAGGCTATTTCGTAGTCTTATCAGCATTTGCAATGGGAAACGGTGTGGGATGTAGCGAACCATCTACCATCGCGATTCCACTGCGGAGAATGGGTACCAATACTATCCTGCTGGTAATCTTTGTAACACCGTATTCGACATTGAGAGGAGTAACATCTTTGCTGGTGATTGTTGTTTTTCCTTCAAGGGCTTTTCCTAATGCTTCACAGGCGAGGAGAAGGGAAATCTCGTGGACGAGTGTTTTGGTTTCTTTGGATGTGGTGCTGGCAGAACGAAGCTGTGAGAGCTTGGCTTGAAGACAAGGGTGACTGGAGACCGTGACGTTTGGGTGCTCGAGGACGTTGGCGGACAGACTCATGATGATGGATTTGATGGATAAAGATGGATTGAATGTGGAGAAGGAAGAGTTCTGAGGGGTGTTGTATTCTTGATATGGTGTTTTCAGAGTGGCTGACAGCTCAACTGCATGCACAATGGTTGATATCAATCACAGCTCACGGGACCTATGATCCGTCTGGGGGAGCTACGAAGCTACCGTAGCTGCAGCTGAACTAAAAGCTGTGCTGTCTACATATGTATTGAGCTGATACAAAGATAGAGCTTCCAATTGAGACACAGCTTACTTAGAGCAGATACACAACCGGCCCGTGGCGACCCAACCCCGGATGACCAACCGCCCTGCGGCGTGCCGAAGGCGGGGAAGTCTAATCCTAGATTAGGCCCTGTTTCCTTATCGGCTGTCCCTTCCGGGCAAGTCTAGGCGTGTGGAAACCGTTACACTAGTACTTAAACGGTTAGGAAAACGTGCACCGTCCGCTGTTAAACATCCAAGCGAGCTGGAGCTCACGAGCTGTTGTTTGAATGATCTCAAGCTAGAAGATGGTTACCATGGCTTCGAGAGTCAATGTGGCTGTAGAGAGTGATCATGTGAGATGTAAACGTGCATTCAAACACTTTAAGCCACGAACCACATCGAGATCTAGAAGAGGACTCAGGTACCCGCGTTTACGGAGCAGGAACGCCGTTGAGAATCATAACTGCTTTGAGTTGACCGGCATCATTTGTGTTCTTAGCCATTGCTAATGCTGGCGCAAGGACGGAATCCTCATATAGAATCCGCAGAGCTCTAGACTAGAAAGTTCAATCCATTAACATATACAGAATATTATTCTCTAAGCAAAAATTCACTTACGTGCCAAAGTAAATGGCTTTCCATCGGCCTCCCCCGACTGTATCATTTTCTCAATTAACTCCAAATCCACCAGCGCGTTCTCGGGTGACTGCTTTTCATCAATCTTGCCCGCCAAAATGCCATCTGCAAAGGCCACAATTTCTTCCTTTACGCCATTACCATACTCATTATGTTCAATAACCCTATCCTGCTCCCCATTCTTCTTCACAGTGACCTTCCCGCCTCCCTCCACCTTAACCACACCCCCATCGCAAGCCACAATGAACTCAAACTCTCGCCTTGAGCTTCCAAAGCTCACGCAGAAAGTGCCCACAACTCCGGTCTCTGTCTTCAAAATTGCATTAACGGTGTCCACCGGTGGTAAATACTCTCTTGTCAACGCCGTGACCGCCGATACCGTCTTGATTTCCTCTCCCAGCATCAATCTCAACCCCGCTGTGAAGTGAACTCCTCCATCCAACAAAAATCCACCCTGATGTGTGGGCTCCTTCCTCCAAGCTGTCTCAAGGTACTTGTTAACCCCTTGTTCCACCAGCGTCTCCATCCTTACCGAGAAACCAAGAACCTTTCCAAGGCCTTTCACCTCTTCCCTGGCCGTCTCCCACCACTTCTGGTACCGGTAGTTTTCCGCCACTCCCCAGATACCCCCTTCAGGGCCCAAACTTAGTGAATGATAAGTTTTCAATAGATGCATTGCCTCATCCAATGATGGAGCAATTGGCTTCTCACTTAACACATGCTTTTTGTGCCGCAAACAATTTTCGATAACCCGGGGTTGCGCAGGAATGGGTAGACAAATGATGACAGCTTTGATATCGTCACGGCCTAAAAGCTCGAGGAGTGTTTCGTCGGAGTAGACATCGATAGAGTAGGGGACCTTTTGGGCGAGATTTTTTGCAGAGACAAGAGTGCGGGAGTGAATGGCGAGAAGTTTGAAGCGCGCCTGGATCTCGGGGGAGAGGAGAGCGGGGAGGTGTTGTTGTTGGGCAAAGATACCGGTGCCGAGAAGGGCGATACCGATGGGTTCAGAGGACATGATAATGGTATGTAATTAAAGCCGAAGATGCACAGTGAGAAGGAACGGAGAGGGGAGAAGGAGGGGAGGTAGCTGACCAGTATTCATGTTCATGGAACTGGTGGGGGACGCGATAAAGACGTCATTGCAGGGATTGACCGAGCCGTTGGTGTAGTATTCGGCGTGAAGGCCGGAACACGTGAAAGGAAGGTAATTGTTAGAATGGCATATCATTCTGTTGCACTAATGTAGATAAAGTGTTGTTTTCTGTGTCATAGGTATTCGCAAGGATTGATATGATAACCTTTTGAGCAAATCATGATTGATTGTCATGTTCCAAATTTCAATTTGATAGGTGAGGTGGAGGACGAGTTCCAGGAGCTTGCTGGGAGTTAAGAGGCGCAACATAGCGAGCGACTTCGCCGGCATTTCATATTTTTTGCCGTGTGCCTGTACATAGTTTGCGTACTAATTAGCTTTATCATATGCTTGTTCTGCGTTCCTCGTTCCACCGACACCCACCCCTCTCTTCTTCACTCCACCATTACCTCCACTTCCATATTCTTAGACTCTTCGCCATGGTCCGCTTTGCACTCTTTCAGGCTTATTCACCGCTGATATTTAAACCAGATCTCAGAGTACACACTGTATGATCTCGTTAGCTAATTATGCTGCAGTACATGTGTGCTACGCGACTTTGTCGAGCGAGACTTCGTGATTCTTTACTTGCCTGGACACGGGTGGGTTCTGCCCTAATAACCATTGCTTCTTGGGAACGCGGGCCGAATTTCCCACAGATTCGCACAGATCTCCGGAAGCATATCGTTGCAATGCGCGACATAGTACCCCTGGAGTCACCAGCTGCAGCATCCATCTCAAGCACTCGTGCCACAATCTCTCCTGCCTGTACGTTCAACACTGTCCCGGGATATCGCTGCTCACATACATACACGTTTTATAGTGCTAACTGCCTAGTTCATTGACGAAAGTTCATTTAACTTTGAAGATAAAAGCTGTATTGAGAACCACGGAATTGACGGCGGTCGGATGCAATTGCCCAGGATCTAGGGTTCAATATTCTCAACATAAATATGCAAGCTAAATGAGATGAGTATTTTTAACAGCGGGAACAAATACTATGTTTACAGGGCTCGGTCTTTCCCGGAAACTTTGGTGGTGTAAGGTGTTGCTTTGGGATATCGATATTGGTAACGCTGTGCTAGGGGATGAAACTGACCACTCAATTCGAAGCAGGACGTCGTCAGCAACTTCAGACATACGCGCTGTAAAGCAATAAGCTTTTTATCCCACACGTACATCATCGGAAAAAGTACAACGAAGTCATCTGGCAGATCTTCGAAAAGTGGACAGAGGGTTGACTCTACTAACTTGTCGAGTGAGACTGTGTGCATATGTATGCACATGATCGCGAGGTACTTATTTAAGTTAATAATTCTGTTGCGTTCACGAATAACCAGATACAAGAGATATAAACAATAGCTTGATGCGAGTGCCGAACTTCACATAGAGGTTGGATCTACCCTCACATTCAAATCAACAATAACGGTAACTCTATTTGAAAATCTTGGCTGTAGGCACTTGTCACTCAAAGATCCACAGCACCCGTCGTAACGGCCCGAGCATCGGCACTGTGTGGAGAAGCACCTGAATCCCCTGGCGATGATCCAGGCCGAACCCTTCCCCGGAGCCGGAGATTATCGCTTGCAAACGGGCCGCCAGGAGAGTTTTTGGCGAAATCAAAGGTCCGTTCGACGTATGGTCAGGACTCACGGATACTAGTTCATGCCCACCGGTCACCCTAGGACACGCCGCGGACCCTACGGTACAGACCGTGCCGTCGTAATCCGAGCACTCTCATATTCCGGTGGCTACAGCCTTTATGCAGGTACGCAATCTTCGATGTTGGCCTTCTAGTGTATTACCACTGAATCGCACTTGCATCCGGTTGTGTTTTATGGTGGCACGAGTGTGCACCTGACGAGTATCCATCCAGTCTGC